CTGCTATTATAGTTATCTTAGAAGCAGTATAAAAATTCTCTCAGTTAGCATGCAAATAAAGAAATGATTTAAATAAACGTGCATTAAATAAAAAACCTACAAATAAAAATTAAAAAAAAAAAAAAAACAACCATGGAACTTTATGTTAAAAGAGTAGCACATTTTATCTATTATTTTAAAATTGAGTAAGCATTATTAAATTTTTTAATGGTTCAGTCTAAAATGCATAAAGCAGTAACATTGCCTCTTCCAAATTATAGCTATCTTTCACACACACAGCTCATTTTAAAACGCTGGTTCAAAAACGCTAATTTCCAAGCTGTGAATTAATATTGGCGCGCTCAGTGTCATCATGGCTACGTCATCACTTCTCACTTTCTGCTTCAGGGGGAAAAGCTCTATGAGCTAGCCCTTCTCTTCTAAGTCCTGGTTCCTATTACTGTTAGTGTTCTCTTTTTGAACATTTATTGTGGATACTGTATTGCTGCTAAGAAGCACTTTGCATTGATTTTTGTACATAAAAACATTTTCCTCTCGTGTTGTTTTTTTTTTGCATTCCTGCCTTAACCCATCACTTTAGAACCTACATTCCTATACAAAAAAAAAAAAAAAAAAATTGCATGATTTAGTATGCTCTACCACCCCTCCAAGTTTGTCCCATGATCTATGAAACACCCTGCATAGTAAGGGCTGGTTACAGATCTGGTGTGGCAGAATTTTTAGAATTTAATGACACACCACGCAACAAAATCTAGAAATGACAAAACTTTTAGAATTTAGAGAGCAGGCACTGGAAGCAGAATTAAAAAAGGCACTGGGCTGCAGAATTTAGGATCCACAGAGATTGCATCAGGTGAGAAAATGCCTAACGCCAGCCCTATGTATGATGCATTGAGACATATTAGATGAATCTGTTAAATTGTCAGTTTTCAATTTCTTTATTAATGAAAAAATTCCTTTCTATAATGCCTGTCCATGTCATACGATTAGAAACATTTCTGCTATTTTCCATGCCTGTGTCTAGTAAAAAGTAGGGAAAATAAGGGGAAGATAAACATGTTAAGAAAAAGATTTTAGTATCGGAAGTAAAACATTCAAATATTATGTTTTCATTGTTCTTCCAGATGTTCTCCAAAAAATAAGAAATTCATTGCAAGCTTTCTGTAAAATATATCCATTACATGTTAAAACCATGGAGTCATTTTTCATTTTGTCACTTTTGTCTGGAATCATCTATCTTGTTAATTAGTGTAATCTTGTCTAATTAGTGTCTATAAATCTTGTCTTCAAATACGCCTAAACTTTCCAAGCTGCAGTGTCTAAATTCCTAAAGAAAAACTACTCCTATGAATTCTTTAATAGCAAAAAGCCAGAAATATTTTGGGGGAAAAAAAAATCGGACTGGAAAAGTGTAAAATTAATTTTATCGAGAAAACTGATAGAAAGAATTACAATATTTTTAATGTTCTGAGAATTCTGAGACAATATCATGGGAAAAACTCTTAGCATAAAAAAATTAAAAAGAAGATATTTTTAATTAATTACATAGCTATTTTGCTTTTGCTAAGAACTGTTTCATAAAATGTACTTTATAGCATTATACCTTGCTTATTTTTCAGATTCAAAATATTGTACAATAAGTGGCCAAAATGGAACTATATAATATGACAGCAAAAAATGTTTTATTTTAATGTTATTTTTTAAATATAATTTCAATATATCACCATTATTTTAATGAAATTTATCAATGTTACAATGTTTTAAAAAAAATTGTCGAAAAATTCCCAGATATAGGAATTAAAAAAATATTTTATAGACACTGATCTCAAAATCGCCGAATTTAGAACCATTTAATAAAAGAATTCACATCCCCAAAAGCGAAAAGTTCTTTAAGAGCTCTTTATTAGAAAAAATGAAATAATTTCAAAATTCTTATGTTTCATGTCTTGCTCAGAAACTCAAGTATCCCACCATTTTATTAGAAACTAGCAGCTTCACTGCCAGCCTTCGTCTGGCTTTTAAATGTATCAGAAAAATGGCTGAAGGAAACACCAAGTGTTAAATTTAAAAATTGCGTAGAATTTTACTTTGCAGAACAACTTCATAAAAATAAGTTATGACGTATAACAAAATTACAATGAAATAAGCAATATCTCTTAATACAAATATTAATTATCCTAATAAATAAATTAACCAACTTCCATTTGCAAAATCTTAAGAACTCAAATGGTATAAAGGAGGTTAAGAACTTTGTTTCCTAAAAAAAATCACTCAAAACTTTTCAATATCGTAAAAATAGTGAAAGGAGCAATAAATATAACATAAAAGAATACAAAAAATAAAAAATTCTGAAAAGCAAAGTATAATTAATTATTTTATCTTATATTTTCAAGAGGAAAAAATTACAATGAAATAAGCTATATCCCTTAATACAAATATTAATTATCCTAATAAAAAAATTAACCAACTTTCCGTTGAAGGAAAAAAAATCATGCAAAACTTTTCTATATCTTACAAACAGTGAAATAAGCAAAAAATAACATGAAAGAAACTCAAAAAACAAAAAATTCCGCGCACAATTTTACTCTGCTGAACAACTTTATAAAAAATCTGATGTGTAACCACATGACTTCCTTGTATTGGAATATTAAATTATACGCAATTTTTCTTGCATTTCATTTAAACTTATTGGATTGAATTAAATCTACTTCGACGACAGCACATAACCCATAATAGAATAAATGCATTCTTTAAAATTCACTCTGCTATTTGTTTACCATAGCGATACTCTGGCGCTAGATTCATTTAACAGTATTAATAATTATAGAACAGTTAAACGGAAACTAAGTTAACTGTTATATAATCCAATAATTATATAACAGTTAACTTATATATTTCGTTCATATTATAACTCATAATGTACAAAATTTATATCATTTAAAGAATAGAATTATCTAATCATTGCCACATGTTCTATTCAAATACTATAATAAAGCTAGAATGATGTATAAAAGAAATTAAGCAAACAAAACAAAAAAGAAACAGTTTTTCACAGACGATTGAGTATTTTTCTCATTCAATTAATTCAGTTCTCACTTCGCGAGAAGGCAAAATACATAAAAACTCAATATATCTATATTAAAAATTATGAAGTAAATCTTAAAACACCTATTTCCTCGAAAAAAAAATTCCAGAAAGAATTAAGCATGATTTAATTGGCAATAATAAACGAATGCGTTATCTTTGTTGTTGGGAAGCTAAGTTTCTCTAGATTGGCAACAAATCCACTAGTCTCCTGTTTCAATGTAAACATCAATGGCCACCATTAAAAAAGACTTAACGGCACTTAGACAACTTTAAAATTGTTGATAATTCTAAAAATATTGCATACAGATTTACTTAAGGCATAAAAACCTTAACCGGAAGATAAAAACAACATAATATTATAATTTTTAAAGCAAAAAATGTACAATTTACAAACATATAAGAGTAAAGAAACTGAGATCACTGAGCCAGGTAACAGAGTGGATATATATATAAATATATTTATATACGTTTTGGTGCAGCCGATTGCAACCAAAATACGAGGTGCACATCTACATGTTATAGCAGTCCTATATACAAAATTTCAACGTTCTGAGTCTACTCGTTTTTGAGTTATGCGAGATACGTTCGTACAGACGCCACGAAAAATTCTCTTCAGGCTTAATTTTAAAGCATTTTTATAATTTTTTGAAGGAAAAGAGTATTTTATTCTGTCCTTACGTAGAGATATCATGCAAAAACATTGTTAAATTGCATTCGATAGCGGTCAAAATGAATATTTTCGTCGAAATATGCTGCCTGAAACTTTTCGTGATTACAATACTTCCTTTTTACTTTGTACAAGGAAGTAAAAACAACAATAAAAATGTATTATATATATATATAAAAATGACAATGAAATATACCAATCTCTTAAAAACAGTGACATAAGAAATACGATAAAAAATTGTTGCCAAACCCATATTTCTAAAAGAATGAAATTATTCAAAATGATATGATTTCATCAAAAATCTATCAACAACAATAAGAAAGAAAAATTGTTGCCAAAATCACATTTTTAAAGATGCGAGATGTGAGAAGTGTACTTGGAAGCTTCATTTAAAAAAAATTTTTAAAATACAAAATATTATCATTTTTCCAAAATTCTTTTTGTAAAAGCAGTCGCAAGGATGAAAGTTTAACGTGTCCAAAAATCAAAGAAAATAACTGTACATTTTTAAACATAAACGTTTTTAGAAAAAATCTCGTTGAAAAGGTGTTAAGCTCACTTTGTTAAATAAATTTGTATTTAATCGATTTATTCAAACACGAAATTTATTTTAAGTTTGTAAAATAGCTAAATGCCTACATTTCATGACGATGTGAAAATGGAGTGCGTAGAGTAAAATCTCGCTTTCCTACAGCCCATTATATGTCAAAATGATGCGATTTCGTCACAAAACATAAAATTTAAAAAATTCTAATTCGAATTTCGAAAAAATCGCTTCGAGGTGCACTGGCTCTTGTCTAGATACACATATGTACCAAATTTCGTAGCCGTGGGTCTATTAGCTTACGCGCAACGCGAACGAAAGACACACACACAGAGAATCTTTGTTTTATTATATGTAGAGATAGGAACAATTTATAACCCATGAACCCATTCAAAAGATAACCATGTTTGTCAGTGAATTGCCAAAAATATTCCTCCAAAATGCTAATTCACACTAAAAATGGCAGTTGTAAACACAGACAGAAATTTCTGATGATTAAAATTAAGGACCTTCTACCCCGTTTAACCAAAATTAAGGACTTTTAAGGGCCAAAAATCAATTTAGAAAAAAAAAAAAAAAAAAAACTAAGGTATTTTAAGGACCATACAAACCCTGATAATTACTTTATAAATGCATCTAGATTATTACGTCACATTGAATATTTTATAAAGTAAAGCTGTTTTTTAAATTTAAAAAACTTACTTCCAGATGACCAAGAAGCAGTGAAAAATTCTCATCAATATTTGTAAAGGCCCGATTGTGCACTCTAACAGCAATATTTTTAATGAGATGAAGATCAAAGCAATCCACATGTAAGATGTAGGTCCTAAAAAATAATTATATGATCTATCATATAATTAACAATATATCCATTTCTTTTTTAATGTAGAATTATTATAAATTATATTTATTACAATTTTTATAATTAATAATTTATTAATTAATATTTTCAATTCAGAATTATTATTATTATTATGAGTTATTTTGATATTATACTGTTAAATTGGCATTTTAGAAAGATTCCAACTTAATTCTGAAAACTAATTTTAACCTTGAAGGAAAACAATATACTGCCCAGCCCCCAAATCTTAATGTACAAAAAATGCCGATTTTATGGTCGCATCTTAGAATGAAATTTTAATTTTTGAAATAAGCTATACAGATATATATATTGTGGAATAAAATTCTCCCACCTTTCAAAAACAATTATTAAAATAATTACACATCAAATTTAAAAAAATATTTCACACTTAAAATAAAAAATCTGATATGTACACCACGATTTCCTTGTGCAGAATATTAAATTATACGCAATTTTCCTGCATTTCATTTAAACATATTGAATTAGCAGTTAACAAATTTTGAATTAAATCTACTTCGTGGATAGCATATAAACTACAATAGAATAAATGCACTTTTTAAAGTTCACTTTAATTATTTACCATGCTGACACTTCGCCTCCAGGTTCACTTAACAGCATTACATCTCATTCATTTTATAGCTCTGAGAGCACAAAAATTATATCGTCGGAAGAATTACCACAAATTTTGTTTAAATACTATAATAAATCTAAATCAATGTACAAAAGAAATTAAACAAATAAAAAAGAAACAGTTTTTCGCTGGCGATTCAGCGCTGCTGACATAATGTGCACACGCTACTAATCAATTCAGTTCTCACTTCTCAGCAAGGCAAAAATACATAAAAATTCAAAATATTTTTATTAAAATTTAAAAGATATAGAAAAACATAAAACACCAAGTACAGTTAAAACAATTTAAAAAAAACAATTTTTACAATTAAAATTACAGTTTCTACGTAAAATCAAGCTAATGACCGGCTAACCAAGCTAAAACCAAGGTAAACTGGTTTTAAACTGAAGAAGCTGTACTTGATATTCTTTTATTTCATCCATATTTTAAAGCAAATCATTTAATATTTTTAAAAATTAGTTCGTAAGTATTGATGAATTCACAATATCAAAAGCTGACGTTATTTAAAGTTAAATCGGAATCATATTATCCTTTGCAAAGGAATCAAAATGATATTACCCTTCCTAAAATCAAAAGTGCCAGAGCACTACAGAAGGCACAGAAAAGATAAACAAAAGTGAATACATTAAACAGTGACAAAATACAACAAAAGCATAAAGATTATTAAATTGATTTAAATTAAACAACAAACAGTTAAATAACAAATTAAAATATAAAAGCTCAACTAATATTCAATTCAACTGGAAATATCATTTCAGATGAAAACTAAGAATTACCAAAGTCTGATTTCAGTAAGCTCCGAACTCAATTTAAGCTCTGCTTTTGCAGTTTAGGTTCAAAAGATGTTTAAATCATTTTCATTTACTTAAGACCCAAATCTAATTTCTTCGAACACCTATGGTTCTAAGTTGCATCTCTTATCACGAAAATACCTTTGATTCAAATAAAATAAAATAAATGAAATAAAATGCTAAAATAATTTTTCAGTAATCAGCTTTGTTTTATTTATTAACCCGCGAGCATGTGCGCCGGGTATCTCATACTCGGGGGCATATTCTTTGTCCCTTATCTAAAAATCCCTTTCCTTGAAATGGACAAAACCTTTTGCAGCTGAACTCAAGGTAACATTCATGAAGCTGGGAAATCTGTGGAGTGATTCTTCGAATACTTTTCTAGGAATTGTACTGTTTGGGTATGTGACTACCGTGTGCCTTCTTGCGTCTTTCAGATTTTCACCCTCACTTTCTTAGTTAGTCAGCATGGTGTAGCATCTAAGTTATAAAAAAATGGAAAAGGTTGAGAAATATGCTGGAAACCATTTCAACAGATGATGAAACGTTTAGAGAAGAGAGGGAAGAATTCATAGATGAAGAAAATAACAGTACTTATAATTCATCAACAGACAGTGATACAGACACTGAATTAGAAAATCAATGAAATGATGCAAATTATGTTGGTAAAAATGGCTTGGTGTGGAAGAGAAACAAATTTCAAATGAATGGTAGTTCGACTAGTTTTAAAAGCATTATCTTTAAAATTCTAGGAAATACTGGTTATTCGAAAGTGGAAAATTACTCAAATCAACGGCGGCAGTAAATCATGCTCCCTTTGAAACTAAAAGAAAAAGTAATTTCAGGAGATTCAACATGGAACCCACCGTTAAAAAGAAAAAACGTACCAGAAGATGCGCTTGTGAACTAAAAACAAGGACAGAAAGACACGGTTTCTGTCGAGAAATGTAATATCAGTATTTGATAGATCATATGTGTTCAGTCTGCCAGAAGATGTGCAAAATATTGTATTTAAGTACTTCATTATTATATTCTTTATAATATTCTAAAGTTCATTGCTCTTCATGTTAATTCACATTTATACTCATATTTATATTATTAATGTAATTTAAAACGTGTTAATTGCTTTCAGGTATGACATACCCAGTGCGCCTTCTCGTGTTCGTAATTTTGGCGTGTGCTCGCAGGTTAACAATATATATCAGTTCAGCAAAGAAATCGGGGAACTCTTGCAGATTTTTGAATTTTAATGTTTAAACATTGCTTAGCTATACTATAATTGAAAGGATTCAAACCGCATTTTTCAGAAGGCGTATTTCGCTGATATGTAAATTTTAGTTAATTATTAATTAAAAAATGCAATACATATAGCAAATCTCTAAATTTTAGCCGTTTATTTTTATTTCTTATTAGAATACAGAATTTTGAGGAACATTTTCTAAATGGAATAATGAAGAAATAGGTTTCCTAGATTAGCCATCATTGCCAAGGATTGTATGAAGCCGTGTCCACAATTTTCTGATGTTTTTTTAGTGAAGACGGATTGCTGTGTACTTCAGAAGAAGAATAACACAAACAAATTACAGAATGATCTTGAAAATGAATGCGTTTTATTTTTTAAAGTATTCTGCCCTTATTGAATAATTAAAATTTGTATTTTAAATTGCTAAAGTGTGCTTTCTTTGGTATGTTGATAATGTTTACTGATTTAAATAAATATTGATAGTTTGGGAATCTTTCTTAAAAAAAAAAAAAAAGTGTGAAACCACCAACTTGCACTAGTTAAGTAGCTTTTGTTAATACCTAAATATCAGAAATTATTTACTTAAGGTAATAATAAATAATTCATTCATAGAACTAAATAAAAGTTGAATTTTTGATCAGTTATATATATATATTCCAAAGAACTACTGCTTTAAAGAAAACTAAAAATTAAGTTTAAGAATGCTAACTTGATAAAGTTTAGATACAGTTTTAGATACGGAAAATTTAGCTTCAAAAGAAAACTTCAAATATGCAAATACAATTTGATAATAAAATATTCCTTTAGAAAGAAATTTTTAGAATATTTGGCCATATTTTGATTATTAAAAAATTTTAAAACTGAAAATTCTCTATTATTAGGAATAAGCAATAAAATTTATTCAGCAATTACAGCCTTCATCTATAACTTAAGAATAAGACTGCTGTTCCTAAAATTTTATTTCAAGATTCAGCATTTCCTAGAATAGTGCGTTTTTTAACAAAATTAATAAAGTACAATATATTGAAGGAAACTTTAAAGAGTCTCTACCTCTTGATCCAATTTGTCTCATATAGTAAAATTTCATCTGCCTCTGTATAGGTAGTACTCAATAATTCATCTCTTGATACTGGCATTTTATATTTCACAGAAGCATCAACTTGTATAATTTCATTTTCTTTCTCTTCAGTTAAACAGAGTTCATAAGAACCTTCATAACATTGTATGTTGAGTATTAACATCACATCTAAACCACCTACTAATGGTTTAAATGTATAGCTAATAATGTAAGAATTTTTCAATGAAAACTCTGTTGAAAAAATCCTAAAAATAAAAATGTATGCTATAAATGCATAAAAAATAAACATTGATACATTTAAAATTCCAAAAATCTGTTACATCTAAAATCCAAACTTAATAGAACTGCATATAGTTTTGTTAAGAAAGACATTACACTAAATACGTAAATGATATTTAGTGTTCTGTCAGCCATTTTCAGCATAAAATTTATTACATCTGTTTGTTCACTATTACATATTAAATTGTACACAAGGTGCAGGGCAGGAGAGGAGTCTATTGAAAAGTCGTTTGTTTTGTATGTTAACATAATCTAAAAACTAGAACCCAGTCTCTCACATGTAACTCTTCATATATTTTCAAAAGCGGCAATTCTTGAAGAAAAGCCTTCTTCTCCAATGGCTGAGCACTTCCTTTTTAAGCACTGATTGTGAATGGCCACACTCATTAGTCACTTAGCTCATGGGGTTCCAACTTTTTCCATATATATTGCAGCTTTCAATATACAGTCAAAAGTCGTTAATTCAGACACCCATAATCCGGAATGATATATAATCCGGACCTCAAAGCTACAAACTTTCTGTCAGCTCGTTTGCGCATTGCTAAGACTTTCGGGCTATATCCTGTGCGCAGCGCAATATGTTACGAATGCGCATTTAAGATAACGGACGGTATAAGCTAAGCTAAAATATCTAATCAGTTATGTTGCAGATTGCGTGTTCCTTAATCTTCGAATTGGATCCGGCTTATTATTTTTTGCAGACTGTAGAAAATTTATAAAAAGTAACTTTCGATTATGTATAGAATTTCTGATATATATTACTAATATGTAAAGGATCTACAAAGCGAAAGTATTTTGGAAGTCTATTAAAAACAAAAAGTGGAATTGCGCAAAAAATGGATAAAGGCATATCTTTGTTTATCTAAACTTTGTTTATCTTTTATCTTTAACGCCGCGGCGCGCAATTAATTGGAAGTTGATCTGTCATACTACCTTATCTCAGGGCAGATGTTTATTTTGGCTATAATTCCTTACTAAATTAGTATTTCATCGATTATCCGTCTTTGATATGATTTAAATCAAATTTCTTGTCATAATTGCTTTGATAGCGAAGAAAGTGACAGAGGTTATTGAAAACGAAAAAATTTCTATTGACAATTAGTCGGTTTCTCGACACAGCAATTATAGGACTTGAACAGCGGAACTTTGTAATTACAAGAAATTAATGTCTGTTTAGAATTAAAGAGAAGTATTATCAATAAAAAATGAAGCACTTAACACTTACATTAAAGAATGTTTAATAAAGTAAACAAATAATTTAACCTTTTTTTTTGTAATTTTGTCCTTTAGATCATAATGTTCTTTTTTTCATAAATTCGGTTTCATATTTTTATTTTAAATTCTGAATGCCCTTTACCAGATTTAACTGATGACCTATAATCCAGAAAAATCGGTAATCCGGAATCGCCGAAGTCCCGACGAGTCCGGATTAACGACTTTTGACTGTATACTGTAATGCGGTGCACTTACAGTTTTATTATTTTATCGCAGCACTCCGGTTGGAACGTTTCTACCATACCATTAATCAGGCACAAAAGTGGGAAAAAAAAATATTTTAGTGAAAAAGTATAATAGTTTTAATTGATATGAAATCATACAAATAACAGAAACCCTCAATGCCAAATTAGAGAGGCAATGTGAGAGGTGAGCTTTTTAATACCCATGAAACTTTTAAATCACAGGCTTGATACGGCTATTTTCACTTCTTGTTCTACACTGATTTCCACATAATATTAGATCTTTATTAAAGTGATAGCTGAAAATCCAGCTTCAAACAGATAGAATGTTGCAAAGAGCATGAGAATCCTTAGAGCTTTAGAACTTAAAGTTGGACACTCAATTTCAATTGAATTCCAAAACTCCATTAAATAAGAGCAAGCAAATTTTGTTTTCAGGCCTTGTCATAAGATAGTTCAATTAAACTCTCTTTGTCCTATAAAGTAAAGTCCCGAAGAGCTTGAGAATGAAAAGGATTTTAAATCAATATAAATTTCTCTACATTATCTTTCAAGAAGTATTTTGCAAACCAGTCAGTGATTCCTGGAGAACAATGATTTCATTAAAAAACAATCCTGAGCACCACCATAATTCAATTTTCTTACCCACAGCTGCAGCTTTTTCCTAAACCACTGAAATCTTTTCTACAAGTATCAAGATGTCCATATATTACCCTGTAAACAGATTCAAGACATTTAGTTTATGACATATGTCACACTAACTAGTTTCAGCAAAAAGTCTGATCAGCGTTACAACTTGCTGATGGCTATGGAATGCTTAAAAGCAATTACACGTAGAAGTCTACATTCCTTAGGAAAGGTAATTATTGATTGTATAATTATCAAAGTCTGCATTTATAACTTATGGCCATAAAAATCTTCAAGGTAGTTAGTTGGAATTTAAAAATTAAAAACATATACCTTATTCATTCAAGTTAGATCTTTTAAATTTTGTAAATAAAATTCTACACTGCATTACAATATGAATCACATAATTCTGTGAATATAAAAGAAAATAAACTTCATAATTTTATCTGTTTAGAGAGGGCTTTTAAAACTTCTCAAATATAAAATTTTTAAATACTGTTATCTACATTACATAATCAGAGAAATTTCAAATTATTATAACGTAATAAATTTTTCATTCGAAACATTTGAAATACTATTACTAAATGTATTCTATCATTGACATTTCTAATTTACTTATTTTGTACAAAATGAAAGACCCCACAGCTTTCTCTTAACACAAATATTTCCATCTATTAGGCACATCTACATGAATGAATTGGTGTATGAATGTTCAGCAATGGTTAAGGATGCTTGCGGCAGTTACTTATAAAGGCCTCTGTTCCTTGTTTAAAGGCAACTGGCCTTTCTGAACTGCACTATAACATTTCATTTATACATATATACAAAAAATTAACTACATTATTACATATAAAAAAAATAAAATAATAATTATATGAAAAAAAACATTTTGAAGTTTAACATCAATCTAATCTTATGAATATTATTCAGTTTCTTGAAGTGCTCATATTTTTATAATATTATTACACTATTCTATATGAAAACACTGAAAATTTACCGTAGTAAGACTCAAAATACTATTTGCATAAAATTCTTATCAACACTCCAAAATTTTCAGCATAAATTCAAAAACATAATTATTTACCTTAACACCCTTCCTTAAAAACAGTTTAAATATACATATTTTTGCAAAACAGCACAATCAAATTGCAGAAACTTTAAGCGAAATTTAAATGCAAAATATAGGATTTGCAGCATATTTAATAATTTTCTCTCATTGGAAAATAAGCTTAGTTAAGTTCACAAGAAGATAAAAATTTCGAGCTTCCAAATGAAGAAATCCTGTTAGGAATAGCAGAAGTGCAAAAAGTAATTTTCTGTCATACATACTTTAATCACATTTAATACAGATCGACGGCCATCAACCAACTGTAATGTTGAATCTTCTAAACGGTAATTCACTGATGATTTAAAACACATCCTCCCCTCTTTTAAATATAGTAGAGATAGCCAAGACAAATTGTACACTTTGTTACACAAGACAATAGAACTTTTGGATTTGCAGATGAGCCAACACACTTTTTTGAATGTCATAAATATTTTACCAAAATACAGTTGGGGAATAATGCTCAGGGCCAGATAAGCTACACAAGCTATAGGCCCCAAGAAAGTCTAAATCTGGCTCTGATAATGTTCCATTCCGC